ACTCGTATATATACAGTATTTATATATATATATATATATATATTTATTTTTTTCAGAAATACTGCACTTACATTTTTCTCCTAAATAAATTCTGGTAAATAATATTTCTGGTAAATACTCCTTTAAAAAGTGTTTTTTGATTATAATTTTATTATTAGTAGACTAGAACACGTGGATATGTTGTCATTCTTACACTATAATACTGAACTTTCATTTGGTTTAATGAAATATAGTTTAATAAAATATTCTTAAGAAAAATTTGTGGGAAATTAATCGTTTAGATTAATCGATTAATTAAGTCTATAGATTAATCGAAATAAAAATAGTCATTAGTGGCAGCCCTAATATATAAATACACACACACACACACGCGCGCGCGCACACACAACGAGAAACAAGTAGATAGAATAGAAAAAATAGAAAGCTAGAGATAAAAAGATGATAAATAGATAAAGTAGAATTAAAATTGAATAGAAGGTGCTAGAGTTAGAGGGTCAAATAAAGATAAATATATATATATACACATACATATACACACACACATATATATATACACACATACACATGTATATATACAGTTGTGCTCACAATTATTCATACCCTTGATAAATATGATCAAAGAAGTCTGTGTAAATAAATCCACATTGTTTATCCACTTGATCTTTCATTCAAAAATGTAAAAAAAATCTAGTGAAAATACACATACACAAAGTGAAAGTGGGGGAAAATCACATTATGAAATAAATATTTTTCTCTAATACAGTAAGAGGGCGTGTATCTATATCTAATGCACGGCGAGGAGGATCACAGCTGGAGAACTGCAGAAAATAGTTGAGTCTTGGTCAGAAAGCCTAAAAAAAACAATGTTTCAAGAAAAAACTAGAAAAGAAAACGCTCTCATCCAAAAACAAACTCCAGCATATTTATTTGCCAGACACGACTGGAACTTTAAACGGGACTGGGTTCAATGGTCAGATGAAACTAAAAAAATAGCTTTTTAGCAGCAAACACTCAAAATGGGTTTGGTGCACACAGGGATTAAAAAAGTACCCCATGTGTACAATGAAATATACTGCTGGATCTTTAATGTTGTGGGCCTATTTTTCTGCCAGAGATCCTGGATATCTTTTTCAGATAGATGGCATAATGGATTCTATAAAATACCAATGGATAAAAAAAAATTAAGATCTGACTGTCCATGCTGGAAATCTTATAATGGGCCATGGTTGGATCTTCCAACAAGACAATGATCCACAAACATCAAAAACAGAGCTGGAGTGATTCTGTATGAAGGAATGGTCTCTGATCTCCTGTCAGATGATCTCGAAACTCTTCAGGCATTACAGGAGAAAACTCAGAGCTGTTCTCTTGGCAAAAGGAGGTTGCAAAAAGTATTGGATAAAAGGGTATGATTAATTGTGACCAATGTGTATTAGAGAATTTTTTTTAATTTCATAATAAAATTTCGCTCCCATTTAAAATTCTTATTCTCCAATGAAAGGTTAGATTTTAGTCATTTTTTTAAATAAAATATCTAAAGGACTGATGACAGATTAATTTTCACAGCCTTCTTTGATCAGATTTACCAAGGGTATGAATAATTTTGAGCACAACTGTACATATACACTATATTAATAAGAAAACAATTTTAATTTTTTAAAGATACATAGAATATTTAATATTATTTATTTATTTACAAAATAATAAAATAAGATTTTTAGAATTGTGATTCAGCTTTTTCCCCCCCAAGTTAAAATATATTTTTTTTATGTACATTTAAATATTTGCATTTAAATTATTTCGTTTTACTGTTTGTTTTTTTTGCCTTGGTGAAAATAGATATTTTCACACACTGCAAGTGTGTGTATTTTTACTTTTGAATTTTAGACTGAAATCTGACTCAGGTGTTTCTTTAACCACAAACACATCTAAAAGAAACCGTTTTCCTCCATTACGGACTGTAAGAGTGTAATACATCTACATACAGTATAATCTCCAGCATTCATCAGCTGAAGATCTGCACTAAACACACTCAGAAACACAGAGATTCTTAGTTTCTAATCCTTTATCTCACTCTCTTTTATGTGTGAGGTTTGTAATCCATCTACGACAGAGCAAACGCCTCCAAACTGGAGCAGAACATCGACACCTGAGGCCCAGCACAAGATACGGGACCAGAACAATCCCTCGAGAGCACAGACGGGCCCAGAATAACTCACCGGACACGAGAACCAGAGCAAAACACGGCTCAGATAACCTCAAAAACCTGCGGAGGAAACTGGAGATTCAGCAACCTCAATATTTGGTTTGGAGGGCCGAAATCACTGAAACAATGACATTAATATTGATTTCTCATTTTAATGGATCTTCATTTTGATGAACCGAGATCTTCTAGTCTGTGCTGTTTTCAGTTGATTCATGAACAAAATGTCACTAAACATCACGTTTACTATCCAATAATCACAAGAACAACACTTGCACTCTATTCGTTTTCTAACTGCTTGTTTTCTTTAAAAAAAGGCCTCTAACATTAGCCTTCTCTATTCTTTTTCTATTCTATCTATCTATATAAACCACCTTGCTATTTGTACTGCGTCGGGCTAACAGACTTGTCATAGCACTTGCATATTATTGCTCTTTTGTTGATTTTGATTGCTTCTATTGTCCTCAGCTTTGATTAGGGTCTTAAACGATTTGCAAGTTATTCGGGACTTAGGAAACTTGGCAATCCTTGTTCTTTTAGATCTGAGTGCTGCTTTTGACACCGTTAATCATGAGATTCTACTCGACTGACTTCAGACCTGGGTCGGTCTATCAGGTCCTGTCTTAGACTGGTTCAGATCCTACTTAAGCAACAGGGAATACTGTGTTACACTGGGTACCTACACCTCCAGGCGTTACGCCATTTCTTGTGGTGTTCCTCAAGGCTCGATTTTGAGTCCTCTATTATTTAACCTATACATGCTTCCTTTAGCTGGTGTAATTAACCAGTACAATATTTCATTTCACCAGTATGCAGATGACATGTAACTCTATCTTTCACTTGCACCAGATGCCCATAATTCAATTTCCACACTACTTGACTGCATAGAGAGTATAAAATTGTGGATGTCCCAGAACATTTTTTAACAGCTAAACAAAGATAAGACAGAGATACTTGTTATCGGTAATGACGTGCGGAGAGGATCTATTGCTCCACATCTTGACTCTCTATCACTAAAAGCCAGTAATCAGGCCAAGAACTTAGGAATTATATTTGATAGCCACCTCAGTTTTAAAAAACATATAAGCATTGTTACTAAACAGCATATTATCACCTCAGAAACAACTCCAAAGCACGTGACATTCTCTCCCCTTCTGACAGTGAGAAACTTGTTCATGCATTTGTTACGTCTAGACTTGACTACTGCAACAGTGTTTTTGCTGGGTTACCAAAGAGCTCTATTAAACACCTACAAAGAGTTCAGAATGCAGCTGCACGAACGCTAACTCGCTCTAAAATTAGAAATCACATTACTCCAACACTCAGATCCCTTCACTGGCTGCCTGTATCATTCAGAATTGAATTTAAGATCCTCTTATTAGTTTTTAAAGGTCTTCATGGAACTGGCCCCTATATACCTTTCTAATTTGTTAAATAAATATACTCCAGCAAGATCGCTCTGACCATCAAACAGTAATTTGTTGGTTGTGCCTAAGACTCAGCTAAAAATCGGTGAGTCAGCCTTTAGTTATTTCGGTCCCAGGCTACGGAACTATTTTCCTGACAACCTACGAGCCATCAACTCACTGTGCACTTTAAAAAAGTATCTCAAAACACATTTTACTAGTTCACTAGGGCCTTTCCTTGACTCATTTTATTATTGTATTTTATTATTTTATTTCTATTATGTGATTCAATTTTTTTTTATGTTTGTTATTGTGCATTGTAAATTTTCTATCCTGTAAAGCACTTTGTAAACACTGTTTTAAAACATGCGGTGCTATATAAATAAAGCTTTACTAATTTGTAAGTCCCTTTGGATAAAAGCATCTGCTAAATGACTAAATATAAATGTAAGAAGCTTTGTGCTGTTCTTTTTGATATGAAAAATTGTGTCAGTTTATAACAATATAAACAGTAAATGTGGAGTAAAGACGTCATTAAACCGTTTGTGACCAATAATGTCACATTTACCTCAGAAAAGTCATTTAATGACCATAAACTCGATAGTCAGCTAGAAAAATGAACTCTAGAGACAAGCTAAATATATCACTATATTACATATTCATTATATTCTTACTTAACCTGGTCTTCAATATTTAACGTATACACTAACAATCAGTTTTTAATGTTTTTTAAAGAATTCTCTTAAATAATAATAATAATAATAATGCTTCTTGGCAAATCAGCATATTAGAATGATTTCTGAAGATCATGTGACACTGAAGACTGGAGTAATGATGCTGAAAATTCAGCTGCGCATCACAGAAATAAATTACATTTTAACACATATTCACATAGAAAGCAGTTATTTTAAATAGTAAAAGTATTTCACAATATTACTGCTTTTGCAGTATTTTCGATTAAATAAATGCAGGCTTGGTGAGAAGAGACTTCTTTAAAAAACATTAAATATCTTACTGTTCAAAAACTTTTGACTGGTAGTATATATGCACATAAATTGGTCATGAAAACAAGTTATTAAAGCTGGAGTAGAAACAATTATTTAATTAAACAGTTCATTGAAAATTTGCCTGAAGTGCAATTTAAATGTTTATATGCAACTCCGTTTTTGAGTGTGGATTATTAAATAAGTGTGATTAATTGATTAAAATTTTTGTTTTTCAATTAAATGAATTGGTTTAAGTAATAAAAAAAATATTTCAGAACAAAAGTTGATCAGTGTTATTTTAATATAACCGAGATACTATTATAGTTTTTATTAATATATTGAATCATTTTTATACTTTTCATTTTGATTTTTACATTTTAAGAATTCTGTCATTTTTATTAGTATATATATATATTTTATTAATTTTTATTTCAGTTATTTTAGTATAACAAGGTAAACTAAATGAAAATGAAAAATGTTGCCTTTGCAATTAGCTGAAAAAGTTATTATAGTTTTTATATTATAGAAAAGGTTTTTATATTTATTTATTTTTTTCAGTTAACATTTATTTTATTTCAAGCAACAAAAACGTTTTTTAATGGTTTCAGTTTCAGTTGTAGTTTTAGTTAACTATAATAATGCTCATGTTGATTTATTTTCCTTTTCCTTTTTCTAACCTGTTGAGGATTTAACTAAAATGAACTGATCACTTTTCACCACAAAAATCAGAAGATTAAAAAAATAAAATGACATTTGCACAAAGAAAGTGCTGCCGGTTTTAAGGACCATTAAAGGGATAGTTCACCCAAAAATGAAAATTGTCATCATTTACTCACCCTCATGTCTTTCCAAACCTGTATGAGTTTCTTTCTTATGTTGAACATAAAAGAAGATATTTTGAAGAATGCTGGTAATCAAACAGTTGATGGTCCCCATTGACTTCCATAGTATTTCTTTCCCTACTATGGAAGTCAATGCGGACCAACAACACTTTGGTTCTTCAAAATATCTTCTTTTGTGTTCAGCATAAGAAAGAAACTTATCCAGGTTTGGAATAACATGACGGTAAGTACATGATGACAACATTTTCATTTTTGGGTGAACTATTCCTTTAAGACACTGCAACATTATTTTCATGGTACCTACACAGATTTTGCTCTAAAATCTGAATGATCATATCTCAGAGATTAAGCTGTGACGTCTACCTGTTCATCAAGGGAAGCACTCACTGTGGATTTAATGTGAATTTCAGTAATAAAGTGTCTCCTCACCACTCCCAGACGCGCAGGCTCTTGTCGTCGGAGGTGCTAACGAAGCGCCGGTTCTCATCCACGAAGGTGATGGTGTTGACGGCGCCGAGGTGTCTGTCGTACTCCTGAACAACCTCGCCGGAGCGGATATCCCACTGCACACAAACACAGTCACATCAGTCAACAAAACTCTTTCATTACTTTAATGAAAAAAACATTATCTGAAATAAAATGTAAAAACCTTATTTATAATATTATAATAAAATGTATATATATATACTACTGGTCAAAAGTTTGGGATCAGTAAGACTTGTAATGTTTTTTAAAGAAGTCTCTTCTGCTCATCAAGGCTGCATTTATTTGATCAAAAATACAGGAAAAAAACTGTAATCTTGCAAAATGTTATTACAATATAAAATAATGGTTTCTATTTTAATATCCTTTAAAATATAATTTATTTCTGTGATGCAAAACTGAATTTCCATCAGCCATTACTCCAGTATAAAGTGTCACATGATCCTTAAGAAATCATTCTAATATGCTGATTTATTATTAGAATTATCAACAGTTGTGCTGCCAAATATTTTTTTGGAAACCGTGATACTTTTTTCAGGATTCTTTGATGAATAAAAAGTTAAAAAGAAGAGCATTTATTTAAAATAGAAATCTTTTCTAACAAACTACACTAGTTCAAAAGTTTGCGGTCAGTAAATTTTTATTCTCTCTTTTTTTGAAAGAAATTAAAGGGGTCATATGATGCGATTTCAATTGTTCCTTTCTCTTTGGAGTGTTACAAGCTCTTGGTGCATAAAGAAGATCTGTAAAGTTGCAAAGACTAAAGTCTCAAATCCAAAGAGATATTCTTTATAAAAGTTAAGAGTTAGCCACGCCTACCTAAAACGGCTCGTTCTAACACGCCCCCACAGGTCTACGTCAGGATGTGAAATTGCATGTAAACGGGAGTGAAGAGCTTTGCTCTTGACATGTAAACATCATAATGCGATTAAAGGGATACTCCACCCCAAAATAAAAATTGTGTCATTAATCACTTACCGCCATGTCGTTCCAAACCTGTAAAAGCTTTGTTCGTCTTCGGAACACAATTTAAGATATTTTGGATGAAAACCGGGAGGCTTGTTGTGACTGTCCCAAAGACTGCCAAGTAAATTACACTGTCAAGGTCCAGAAAAGTATGAAAAGCATCGTCAGAATAGTCCATCTGCCATCAGTGGTTCAACCATAACGTTATGAAGCGACGAGA